CCCCCACACAGTGCTCCCTGGGAAGCCTACCCTCCTGCCCCCCTTCCTGCCCCGGGCCCTCTGAGCCCCTTGGTGGCCAGGCTGTCCTCACCTGAAGGCCCAGGAGGCTGGAAGACTCTGCCTGGACCCACATCCCTCACTTAGACTGAGGCATGGACCAGGGAATTTGTTGGGCGTCAGGGGATGCGAGTGTGCCAGCAGCCAGCACCACACCGTGGCATGTCGAGCCATTTCCCAGCCAGTGTCTGCCTGGCCTTTCAGCTCCCCTGGGTGGGGTCAAAGGCCATCTGCAGTTGGTCCACAAGTGCCCTCCTCCCTAGCTTAGGGCCCTGAGAGGGGGCTTGGCATGAGAATGGAGAGGCAAGTGCCAAGGCACCACCCACTCTAAGGCCAACTCCAGAGCTTGGCACCATGGCGCACACCTTAATCCCAGAGACCCAGGAGGCTGAGGCAGGAGGGTCCCACGTTCAAGGCCAGCTTCAGCAACTTAGGTCTGGGGACGTAGCTCAATGGTAGAAGCCCCTGGGGTTCAATTCCTATTCACAGCTTCTGAGGGTGCTGCCACTCTGTGGACACAGGAAGGCACTCATGTGGCGCTCTGAGCTCGGCTCTGTCCTCCAGGCAGCCCAGTCTGCTCTCAGACTCCCTGTTTCTCACGCAAGTGGTTTAAGTGGTTGGCTTAGAAAACGACCGTGCTGACCCTGGAGTCCATGCTGCTCTTGAATTCTGTCAGCCTGGAATGCGAGCCATGTGGCTTCAGGGATTCAGACTGTTTAAGTTCCTGGTGACAGTGTCCCTCACAGGCGGCTGCCTGCGCCCCAGCCTGTGGGCTGCCAGACCGTCCAGGCAGGTCCTGGGCCCTCATCTGCAAGATGGAGTGGAGCTCCCCTGACCTCTGCCCTGGTGGTGGCTCACCCTGCTGCCCACCTCTCAGCCCTGACCAGCGAGCAGCCCTGCTCTGCCCTGGGAGAGGGCCATTGCATGTTGGTGTCCTCAGGTGTTCCTGTGTCCTGGCTGGGCATGCCCTATCTCCAGTCCCCCTGATCCTGGACATGGCTTGGTGACTTTCCTTGGCCCGGCACACACTCTGTTGCTTGTCCACCAACCGTGCTCAGACGGGAGCATGCTGTGGGCAGATGTCCATGGGATCTGCTTGCTGGCACACGTACAGGGAGACGCTGCATGGCCCCAAGGAGTCACCCAGGCTAGCTCCCCAGGGTCACTCAAGAGCCTGCTCTTCCAGCTCCTGGAGGTGGTGGCCTTCTGTGGGGGTGGTGAGATGACAGCGTGCAGGGTCCCAAGACCCTGTTTCCTCAGAAACTCGGTCTGGATGGCTCCGTGTGCTCCACTGTTTGGAGGCGCAGAAAGGAGAATGTGGGTAGGGTGGAGACCCTCGCAGCCAGGTCGTCCTGACTGGTGCCGTGTCTGTCGGGGACAGCTTGGGTGAGAGGGAGGTGCGGCGTGCTGTTGGGACTCGGCCGTCCTGCCTGGGCACTCGTCTGGAGCCACCGCAGCTCTGGCACCTGGGACGGTCTGCTCCACCCACTGGCCCCGGAGCTCTTCTTGGGAGCTGGCGTGGTCCGCGGGTAGGCCTGACCATCGCACCCCGGCCCTCCCTGGCCTCCGGGCAGCAGTGGGAAGCTGCCTGCCCTGAGCTGAAGAGAAGCCCAGCCCTGGGCAGAGCCCCCAGCTGCAGCAGAGCCGGCACTGGCCCTGGACTCTGGATGCTGTGAGCCAAAGGCGGTCAGTCAGCATCAGAGCCGTAGGAGCGACGCCGTCTTGAGGTCCTCCAGACCACGTGTGGCCTGTCCGTCTTCTCGTTTCATCTTTTCCAAGCCTCACAGTGTTTCCAATTTGTAGAAAACACSAAGTCCTTGGGAAAGCATAGGGAGATGCCCCCGCCTGCGGGCGTCCTCCTGGGCATGCTGGATGGAGTGCCTGCCCACAGGCCTGCTGCTGGCTCACCCAGGCTCCCGAGGACCCAGCTGGGCCAGAGGTGACCCTGCTCCAGGTAACGGCTCCAGAGCCCAGCCCACGTTCCAGGAGCACAGTCCTGTGCCTGCGAGTCCTGTGTTCACACGCCATCTGTGCTGTYCCTTGTAGAGCTGCCTGACCTACCCACCTGCCGCCCCATGCTGTCCCAGCCTGGGAAGGTCCTCTTGAGCCTGACAGGGACTGATGAGAAGAGGCTCCCAGGGGACCAGGCCGGTGCTGTGCCCTCTGTGCTCATCTCGTTCCATTTCCACTTCTTGTCTCTCGAGTCCTCTTTGTGTATCAGCTGCAGCCCAGGGACCCCTGGGGAGGGCTCAGCTCCCTGGGGAAACCGCCGCCCAGTGGAGAAAGAGCCAGCCCTTGGCAGGGGCCACCACGTCCACCCCAGCCTGTAGGTGCCAGCACACCTCATGTCTGTGTGTCTGCCTGTCTGCAGTGTGTCTCCAGCAGGACGCCTGCATGCCTGGGCCAGCTCGTGTCGCCTGCCAAGCTGTGTCCTRTGTGTTGATGGGCCATCAAGCCCAGTTGCTCCTCAGCCTGGCCTGGTGGGGGCTCACCTGATGGTACCCTCTGGAGCTGGAAGGGTGGCAATGTACCCCCACCATACGTCTCTGGGACGGTTGCCAGTGTGAAGTGGGGGTGCCCTGTCCAGAGCATGTGGGGTGAAGAGAGGCTGGCTACACCAGGGGTCAGCAGGCTTTGAAGAGAATGCCTGGCTCTGGCCCCAGCACCCGCCTTGTCCACAGCTCTGAGTTCTAAAGTGGGCTGTGGGAGTCCTTGCTGGCAGTCCCAGGGCAGCCTGGGTGGCACGACTTGTCCAGAGCAACTGTCCCAAACTGAAATCACTCTTCTCTCCTCAGGAATCCCTTTGCCAATGTCCAGCTGAAGCCAACGGTGACCAATGACAGGTCTGCTCCCCTCCTCAACTGACAGCCACGCCTGCAGTGCCACACTCTGCCACCCATACACCTGATCCTGTCACCACCTGTGAGTTCCTGTTGGGAAGACCAAGGCCCAAGCCCCCTTCAGCTCAGTTGGATCTGAATCTCGGCTGCTCCTGGGATTGGTGTCGGGCGG